ATTCTTTTCAGAAGTTCTGAAATGGTTTTATTTTTAGATGCTCCTCGTCTATCCTATCTACCAGGAGCCTAGCCCAGGCCAGCGTAGCTTGTCTGCAAAGATGTCTTACCATTCTTTTAGGTCGATCTCTCCGGTGCAACTCCAGTGCTTGAACGTCAACCTGCTATTCTCCACCTCGTCAACGATAGCAACGGCCATGTCTTCATTGTAAATGCCACCCTGAACCGCAACGTCTGCTGTGCCATCCTCGCCGTCAATGTGCAACTCATATTTCCCCGTGCGCACTCCTGACAAGTGCATTAGTTCAGCAGGTTCAACTCAGCGAGGGAAGGTGGTTAACGGTGCCAGGCATACCTTTGTCCCTGAGTAAACCGGGAGGCGATAGGAATGTCCATTGTTTGTCCTTGACTCCTTCCCACATGATCAATGCCATGCGCGACATCGTTATTAGCGATCGTGTATCTTTGTGTGTAAGAAAACCTTTTGCCCAACGGAGGTATAGCAGAGCAAATGGGCGGAGTAGCCAAGAGAACCCTGCATCGGCAAAGTGAGTCATGGAGATATCTTTATGAGGGCTTGGTGTCCTTACCTCCTGGATGTTCTACATTGCTCCTTGCCCATTTGAACGCGCTTATAAATCTGCCCAGGGACTTCGTGCCATGATCGTATGCCCGTACGCGCATATAGTTCAGATGAGCGTCCGGCCAGCGATACCTCGGAGGTGTATTAGATCTTGAAGATAATTATACTTCATCGTAAGGGGGCTTGTCGCTCACCACCAACTATACGCGAAGTCTAGCTCTTCTACAAGCTGCTGCCCGTTTTTGGTATGCAGAGACCCTGCTCCCCCTATCAAAATTTAGTATGGAGGCCGACTTTTTCCCAGCGAAAATTTGAGAAGAGGGAAGAAGCTGAGATTTACCAATTACAATGATCTGCCCTTCATGGGACGATTCGAGAAGGGCCATTTTGATCTTTCCATGACCTTCCACACCCGTCTCATAGACCTTGGACAGATCCGCCAGAGGCGGCGCGTATGCGGAAACAATAGCGTCGAAGCCCGCGGAAAATACTTTGGACAGTTTCTTCGTATCCTGGATATCCACTGGCACAGAGGAATAGCCACTGTTGCTTTTCCAGTCCTCTGGAGGATTGCGAGAGATGCCGACGACTGTGTGACCGCGTGACAAGAGTTCGTCCACTACGCAGCTGCCACATTGGCCTGCGGGTCCCAGCACTGCGACTTTGAGCGGGGTTGCAGTAGCCATGCTGTCGTCCGGGACACCAGTAAAATATAGGGTAATCACAAGAAGTTCTCAAGTGCAACAAAGTTTACATAAACAAGGCCAGAACAGTTGGCCGGAACAGTTGTGTAGTTATATGTAGTAGTCGGAGTGCTTGGCAGCTGCTCATTCAGGTGTTTCGACACGTAAGCAAGAACGCTGACAGCGAGTTTACCTGAGGGCCAACTCACCGTTCACCAGCGATGCACACCACAAAGGAGATTGCTAAGTGGCCACCCACCGGGCTACAGGAGTCGCCGCATGCCCGCTTGACATTCCATCTCGATTATAGCAGTGCGGAGCCGAATCCTGTTTCGGCTCCGCGTATTGCACCCTTGAATCATGGCCAATAGGGTCGCCTCGGCTCCGCAGTGGGGCCGACAGGCTAGACTTCCAACTTCGGCACACCCGCCAACCAACCTGTCGCGAGTGAGAATGCCTGAAGCGGATCGGGGAGAGCTTTTTCGGCCTCCCCGCAGAGACTTGCCCACTGCCAGCAGGGTGAGTTTATCCGCCAAAGGCGACTTAAGCGCATGAAGCACAAGTGATAATAAAACCAGCTTCCAAGCAGGCCCAACAACGATAGCAGTAACTGGCAAAATCAATCCTGTTAGCCTTATAAAAATCTTTTCCAAATGACAGGCCCAAGGGAACACGTCTTGCTTACGTTGGGAGAGCTGGAGAAAGCCAGGAGGTTGGGGACATGGACAAAGGGTTGAGTCGTGTTGCTTCCTTTCTGCGCAAGGTGTATGCTGACGTTCAGAGGAAGCAAATGACCCTTCCCTCAGGGGCTGTGGCGAGCCCAGCCCAAGAACCGAAACGCGAAACAACATGATCATTGACATCGATGTGGCGATCGAGACACGGGATGGAACCACGTTGCGCGCCAACATCTACCGTCCTGAGCAACAGGGGAGCGCCAGGTTGCCAGTGATTTTCAATTACACCGCATACGGCAAGGATGGTGCTATTGATATGGCCACCTTCCCTCCTCAATCTGGAATTGACGAGTCGAGAATGACCCCGGACTACCAGTTTGAGTCAACGGACTGCCAGTGGTGGTGCCCCAGGGGTTACGTCTGTGCCACGGTTGATGTTCGAGGATCGTTCAAATCCGACGGCGACAAGAGTTATTATTCCCGCGACGTCGGTCTCGATGGTGAGGTCTCCCGTCTTGTCAGAACTCTTGCCATTGCTACGGAGTTGACTAACAAGCTGCACACCTACAGGATATGACGTCGTCGAGTGGCTTGGTGCGCAAGAGTGGAGCAACGGCAAAGTGGGAATGTACGGCGCCAGTGGTTTTGCCATGGTGCAATGGTTGGTTGCCGCTGAACGACCCCCGGCCCTGGCTGTGAGTATATGATGCCTCCACGAGTTTGGATGTGCTGCTTATCATGGGCGGTTTGCTCCATAGGCTATTATGCCCTTCGATGGCATGACAGACCTCTACCGTGAAATGGCTCACAAGGGAGGAATTCCAGAAACTCAGTTCACTATGGTGTAAGCAAAACTAGGATCTACGCTCTTCTCCAGGTGCGGAGCTTATGTGACTAACCCGTGCCTCAGGTACCCGCATCTCTTCAACTGGGGAAAGGGCCTCGTCGAAGATTCCCAAGCCGTCGCGGAACAACACCCATTTTTCGACGAATATTGGCAGAGCAAAATCCCTCGGTTGGACAACATTGTGTGCCCCGCGTACGTTGCTTGCAGCTGGGGGGACCATGGCATTCACACCCGCGGTACATTGCATGGGTGGCGTACCCTGAGTTCCAAGGACAAATATCTCGAGATCCATCCATACCAGAAGTAGGTTGCCACTGCACTTGTCCTCTAGATCCCATCACCATCACCGTACCTCCAGGCTGACCAAACTAATCAGGTGGGAATATGCGATGACGGAGGAGTCCCTCAAACGCCAACTAGCCTTTTTCGACACCTACCTCGCAGGAAAGGATACCGAAGTCAGGTACTGGCCAAAAGTCCGATTTGCCATGCGAGAGCGCTTCTATGTGAGCGAGTGGCGGTACACCTCCAGCTTCCCATTTCCAAACACCGAGTACACTCGTTTTTACCCGCACCCGTCGGGTGGGCTATCCTCCCTTGCTCAGCCAGAAGCCCATTCCATGTCCTATGATGCGAGAGAGGGCGCTGCCGTATTCGAGTTGCCAATGCTCCAGTCGTTCGAGTTCGCCGGTTATGCCAAACTCAGGCTGTGGGTGGAAGCGCAAGGGAACGATAATATGGACCTCTTCATTACTCTGCGGAAGGTCGATGCAGCTGGAAATGAGGTCTGTTTTCCATGGCTGACCATCAACGACAACGGACCTATTGCCTTCGGCTTCCTGAGAGCCTCGCGTCGCGAGCTTGATTCAACCAAATCCACAGAGTACCGACCATATCATTCGCATTCTCGAGATTTGCTGTTGCAGCCTGGCGAGATAGTCCCCCTGGATATCGAGATCCTCCCAACGTCGTGCCGGTTCCGACCCGGCGACAGGCTTCAAGTCCACATCTGCGGCCACGATTACAAGGAGTATCCCCCGTTCATCCCCGTATCACGTCACACCAATACCGTCAACAAGGGCACCCACGTCATTCATTTCGGCGGAAACTATGACAGCCATCTGATCCTACCGGTGATTCCGCCTGTTCCGGGCTCCATACTTCGGAACCCCACGACAGTGAAGCTGGTAATGGCCGGCAAGAGAGTCAAAGGATGGCCCGATGAGAAGTTTATCCAAGAGTACCAAGTGGTGCATGCGGACATGACTCGGCAAGCGGCCCAATTCGATCCACTTCTCCTAGGCTACCGGCAAGTCCTGGCAGTCCCTAAACCAATGCACACATACTTTGGCAAAGACGCCGGTGACTGGGATTGTATTTCCCAGTTGTCGTGGTCGAGCATGACTGCCCTCAGTTCGCACCTGAAGGCACCGGAATATCAAGCTCACGCTGGTAAACATGTCTTCACTGAGCCACAGACTTTGGGATCTGTTTGCCAGGCCGTGGGGGAAATCATGCTCGATCCGGTCACCTACGAAAAACGAAAACCCGGCTTCATGGTGTTTGCTTACCTGTCAAAGCAAACGGCCGGCATCCGCGAGCAGGTACCGGAGAAAGACCTCGAGGAGAGACTGGCAACGGTAGCCAAGGCCGCTGCTGGAACAGACCTCCTCCGCTACGTCATCAACCGAGATATATCCCCTTCGGACCCAACAGATTTCTTCAGAGGGACCCCCTTCATGCAAGGCCGGTGGGGGGAGACTGGCGCGACAGAGCAATATTGGTTCGCCAATGCAGCAGCTGCTTCTACCTTCTTCGCCGACGGAGATCGCAAAGAGGCCTTAGTGGAGTTGCCAACCTCACTCAGTGGTGAAAGCTCCCTTTTCATTGCCGGAAAAGAATCAGTTGTATTTAGTAAACGACGGAACTTCTGAGGAGCGGCCGGGGCCCCGCGCGAGTCCATAAGACTTGTCGGAATGGGTAACCAAACATGACCATTCCAAAGTAAAGCCTGCCACCGTGAACCATGACACCGGGTGACGACTGAGGCAATAGACTCAGTAAGGAAATGGAGAATGAGAAAAGCTGCATACCCGCTGCGCTGCTCCATTGTACAGTCAAACAGGTTCTGGAGTGTCCCGAGCTTCGTACCGCCTCAGCTCGTGATAGAGTTTCAACGACTCGCCCAAAAGCCCGCTGATCTGCCACGGGGAGGGGGAGCACAAAATCCGCGCCCCTTCGTGAACAAGCCGTGCAACTCCGTCTCGGCCTAGAATATTGCCGACCCCAGCCAAATATGGACGCAATCGGGAACCGCCCCGCATCCACAATTGGACGTCGCTTTTGTTAAGTGCTTTGTCAAGTCGCATAGTCGAGTTCATGCCGCAGTCTCCCGCTTGAGCGGCGGCAAGATTCGGGGTGGAACCTTGGTCGAGTGGGCTGAGCTCACCGTATATCCAGAGCGTTATGCAGGCTATTGTCATTGCAGTAGACTCGTAGTAACCGTTCATTTCAGAGCTGCGGATATGGCTGAACAGTCTCCCAGCGTGGAACGCGGCTAGGCGAGCCTCTTCGCCGCATTGCCTGACCCATAGCCCGAGACGGTTTTGGGATTTTAAGATGTCGAAGCTGGTGACCCGCCAACCAGTGTAACAGAAAAGCTCCCGCAGCGGTACGCTCAGAAGGATGCATATGGCGTGGTAATGATGTAGTAGGAGGGCCTTCAGGCACGGTCCTTTCGGGATATCGCGCTCGTCCGGACACAAGACCTCCAAGCATTCCATGGCCTGCTGAGCACCAGGAAGAGCTGGAGATATTGACCTGCGGCGCTTGGAACTACCTCCCCCGTCCGCCGTGCTGTCTGCGGAGGCGTGCATGACAGTTATCCTTCGAGACTGCAGAGCGTCCATGAATACGCCCATGGTCAACAGCAAAGCCGAAAACTCCCCTATACCTTGTCGAAGGGTTTTGTTTTTGTAAAGATGCGAAAGCTCCCGCTGTATATTCATGGGGCGGTGGTTGCCTAAAGAACACGATCGACCGATTAGTCACAAAGAGCATAGTGGTTGCTTCTTCTTTTAGGTGTGTACGAACCATTTTTGTCCATCTGCTCCTTCCAGGATGCCGCTGTAGGCGCGTCCCATAAGCTTTCCTGGCTAGGCAGCCGAACCCGCAGCAGGTCAGTGACAACCTGTGGCGGCAAGTCAAGAAATAGAGCATATTGACTGTCAAGGAGCTAATTATGGCATGGGAACGGTCAGCAAGCGTGGACGAGCCTTGAGGAGCACTAGCTTTGTGATATGCTACTTCGAAGAGAATTAAGAGTAAACCTTACCCACGCCGAGTATGCGAGGCGTCGCATGCTCTCCCTTCTCACGAAGGACCTCCAGGCATCTTGCGGGGACTGCTCCGCGCTTGTCTGACCCGGCTGGTCTGGAGATTCAGTGAAGCAGTTCACTTTCCGGCAAAGTGTCACTACCAAACTCCTGTTGGATTGTGCGTATTCCGAAAGTCGCATGTCGCCCGAGTGTTGCATCCCAATGTCACTCAGCAAGACTGCTTGGGCCAGCCATGGTTGGCATGTCGATCCATACTCCCGCTCGACCTACTCCGCATGGCGTGATCAGCAGCGCTCCTCGGCAGCGTTGGAGGGTAATTAGCGATGCTTCAATGCCGGGGCCCTTGACGCACCGTGAACAGAATAGCACGACGTAGGAATTCCTGAAGTAGATTTCCGCTATCCGCGGCGCCGGGGACCTGCGAAAAGCGACACCCTGTCGCCGTGACGGCAAGAAGCAGCACCCAATGTTCCTTGCCTGGGTCATAAGTTGGTTGATGGAGCAAGGGAAAGATTGGATGAAATGCTTCGAAATAGAGCTGGATAAAGGCGTTGAGTGCCGTGAGTGACGGAAACTCGCCGTTTGCGAATGGGACATGATAGCCGTTATCCGCATTCAGCCTCTCAAAGTTGCCGAGAAGCCGATTGTACGCCACTTGAGGTAATGATTTTACGTGCCCGAAATCTTCTGGTTTCCAAATGTCCTCGCCGCTCTCTCTCACGCTGAGCAAAGGAGGGAAGAAACCCGGAAGAGGAGAACCGTCGCCATGTTGGGACTCGCTGGCCGCGCAAAACATCGGGCCACGTAGAGTAGCGGTTCTGTCATGTCCAACACGAGGAGAGTTGCGTCGGCGCCCTGCTGTAGTCCGCAAGCAGTCGTCAAACTTCATTATTTGGCCTTCTTGGGGCTCTGGACTATGTCTTGAACCAAGGAAGCTCGGGGAAGGGGCTTCTGCATCAGAAAGCTCCGGATCAGAAAGTGTCTCGGAAGATGTCAGCTCGGTCTCCTTGGTAAGCCACAAATGGGGGGAGTCTAGCCCCGGCAATTGCCAATCCACACAGGGCCCTTGAGAGGATGAAATGAGATGCTGCGGAGCGTTCCAACGGGTCGCGCCTCCTGTATTGGTACACAGGGGAACTAGTTCCGAGAATAGGAGTTCAAGTGCTGACTGTTGCTGCCCATCATTGTTTAGCTGCGTGCCGTCTAGGAGTTCAAAGTCTCCCGGGCCGAAGGAAGGAGAATGACGCTGCATATGCGACGGAGCAATCGAAGAAGACAATCCTGCTGGTTCTGAGATTCTCATATCCCAAAGGGAATGGGAGGATGGCTCGAGTGAAGGTGGAGAAATTAGTGACGAGATGTCGGCAGGGGAAGTTTGTTGGGCAGAGACCTGCGATGTGACCGAAGACTGTGCTGCAGAGACCAAAATCCCGTCGTCATTCTGCTCCTTCTGCCCCGTATAATTGCTTTGGTCGAGGGCGTCCGTTTGCTATTTACGGGTCAGACAAAAGAGCCGGCAAATAACGCCGCAAATACTAAAAGGACTTACTTGTGCGGGACCTGGGTTCGAGTAGACGCATTGGACATCTTTTGAGTGGCAGCGCGCACAAGGTCTCTTGCCATCACATCGTTGTTTTGAGGCTGAGCAACTCCGACAGGCATGCTTTATTCTCCTTGCCGACCGCATCTTCCCTGGCAAGGTTGCATGCATGGGGGAGTCAAGCTCGTGGATCGCCACGTGCCTTTGCAGTGTATCTCTGCAATCGAGCGAAACAAGGGGTTAGCCAGTGACTATTATTCCCGGGCATGTGTGAAAGATTCGAGCTTGGATGAGAGTCAAATTTGGTTGAAACCGAAGGCACATTTCATAAAGGCGAGGTTACCTGCGCGGGAAGCTCGAATTGCAATGGGGGCAGGCAAACGGCTTCTGGCCCAAGTGGCGTAGTCTGTGGCGGGAAAGATGCTCGGCGCGCCGGAACGTTGCACCGCAAGTGTCGCATAATAGACCGTTTGAAAGGGCTGGAAAACTCATGTCGTCAGGGTTTGTCCGTCGGAAAATGCATACCGCGTTGTTTGACCCGGCTCTGTAGAGACGCAAGGCAAGTTGAAAGACGGCGGCCAAAGTTGGGTTCGGCCAGATGACCTTTTGACGCTGCTGCACCCCGCACCACTGGCAGGGCTTAGCACTAAGAAACAAGGCTGTTTCTAGCGGCTATTGAAATCGGCAACGGAGCCCATGTCAGGGGGCCGTGCACGATTGTAAAGGCGGGGAGGACGGTGCAAAACGGTACCTATTTCGCTTGTTCGTGCAGAAGGGGTCAGGTTCAAAATACAAGGGGAGATCAAAGCACGAGGACACCCTGTATTGAGAGTAAGTGTGGGCAACGACGTATCCTCATTGGGCTATATAATATTGAAGCGTACTAAAAAGGAAAGGAAAGAAAGGAAGGATCCCCCCCAGGGGAGTTGTTGAGTAATTATCCCAGATTCCGCGGCCTGTAGCTCTTCGGCTATTCAACTCCGAGTGGGTCAACCCGGCGGAGATCTCCGTGGACCGCCCTCTTATTCCGTATAATTGTTGATACCCTGGGATCACCGACATTCGTACAAGAGCTGCCGGCCATGCGGCCTGCCGTACTCGTCACCGCGAATCCAGTTCAAGGCTCGGAGAAGGGCAGCGACTCGGGGGCTGCACCCGAAGGTCCCGTCGCCTCGGCTTGCTTCGGTAAGCCCGGCACCGACCGGCCTCCTCGCGCAGCCGGGTTTTGACAGACAGCCTCTACGTGATGCTCACTAGACTCTGCGGAGCCGCACACAGCTCGAACTGGCCCGAAGCTGGAGGTGGGGCAATGGCACGCCAAAGCAGGGGTTTCGCGTCGGCCGCAGAAGAAGCTGCGCGGCTCCACCGGGACCCACTGCATACCATCGCCCCGATGCGGGGTTAACTTCCGCCGGAACTTAAGTCGGATTTAACACTGATACAAAGTCTAGGCGCAGTTTCTGGACGATGGACAAACTGACCCGGCGTTCCTATCTCAAGAGTTGCATCATTAATTACCATCCGTCTGCACCGTGTCTCAAATGCCTAGACTGATCACGAAATGACGCCTGACGAGCGCGAGAATGAGGCAGGCATTCCGAGTGACATAGAGTTGGCCTTCGCCAAGTCCGGCCCCAGTCCAGACAATGTCCAAGCGACATCTGGAGAACAAAGAGAAGGGGAGTCGCCCGTAGCGAGGACGGCAACCAACACCTCCATTGCTGAGACGCTCTCGCTCCCTCACGAAATTGCTTTCGTCGGATTAGTTTGCATGGCGCAGCTGACCACACGTTCGTCATGACTACCAAACCGTTGCAAAACCTGGCCCTAATCAATTCGCTTCTTCAGAGGCGGGCCTCGGCCAAGCATTATCGATACTTCACATCATAGGCGACAGCTTTGGTATCACAGACCCTGGACAACTCACGTGGCTCGTGAGTGCGTCCCTGCGGCTCCTATGCAACCCCTCGACCTTCGCATTAAGTCTTTGTCGCGGCAAAAGCTGACCCAGGACGTTGCAGATCGCGGGCTACAGCTTGACTGTGGGCACTTTCATTCTCTTCTCCGGCCGTCTGGGCGACGTCTTTGGATACAAGCGGTTGCTGCTGATCGGGTGGGCCTGGTTTTCCTTGTGGTCGGCAGTGGCGGGCTGCGCCATCTACTCCAACTACGTGCTCTTCATCTTCTCGCGGGTGCTGCAGGGAATCGGCCCGGCCATCTGCTTGCCGAACGGGCTCGCAATCCTCGGGGCGACCTACGCGCCGGGCCGCCGCAAGGCCATGTGCTTCGCCATCTTCGGCGCCATGGCCCCCGCCGGCTTTCTCGTCGGGGCACTCTTCGCTAGCCTGTTTTCCATGGCATTCTGGCCGTGGGCGTTCTGGGCCTTTTCCATCGCCCTGGCCGGCCTGGCGGTAGCCGGCATCTTCATCATCCCAGACCCGCCGCGTAAGTTCGCCGCCGCGATGTCGCTCCGGGGCCGAATGGAGCAGCTCGACATTCCGGGCGCTGTGACCGGCGTCGCTGCGTTGGTGCTGTTCAACTTCGCATGGAATCAGGCGCCCATCGACGGGTGGCAGGCACCCCATGTGATCGTGATGCTGATCCTCGGCGTTCTCCTCGGCGTTGTCTTTTTCATACTCGAAACGCGCTACTCGCCACAGCCCCTAATCCCCTTCGAGATCTTCAGCTCCGACGTGTCCTTTGTGCTGGCGGCGTTGGCGCTAGGATGGAGCTGCTTCGGCGTGTTCGTGTACTACCTCTGGCAGTTCGAGGAGGTGCTGCTGGGCGCCACTCCGCTGCTCGTGACGGCGCGCTTCACTCCTGTTGCCATTTCTGGCACCATGGCGGCCGTCTTCACGGGAATGCTGCTGCACCGCCTCGGCCCTGCCGTGGTGATGACGATGGCGCTTACCTCCTTCACCGTCGGCAGCATCCTGAGCGCCACCGTACCTCAGGATCAGACTTATTGGGCGCAGGTCTTTGTGACGCTGCTGGTCATCTCGTGGGGCATGGACATGAGCTTCCCGGCCGCGACGTTGATCCTGTCCGACGCTATGGCCAAGGAGCACCAAGGCATCGCGGCCAGCCTGGTCAACACCATTGTCAACTACAGCATCTCGCTGGGGCTAGGGCTAGCAGGTACGGTGGAGGTTCACGTCAACAAGGGCGGCAAGACGAGGGCAGATCTGCAGAATGGCTACCATGGCGCGCAATACATGGGCATCGGGCTGGCTGGTCTTGGCACGGTCGTGTGCTGCTGCTTTTTGTTAAAGGAGCATCTCGATGTTAAGTAGTTATTATCTAAAGAGACCCGGGGCATCACAACACAACGGCAAAGGACAGCACCACAACCACAACAAACGACATACATTTAACCCTAAGCATATAGGTAGGCGGAGATGGGTCTAGGTCGACCAGGGAATAGATTTGAGTATCACATCAACGGTGATGTCCTCTTCGGATTCGAGAATTACTAGGCTATCCTTGGCGAGGCACCGCATAGACACACAATATAAGTCCCGCGATCGACGTTCTTCTCAGACAACGGCATAAACCTCTCGACCTTCCCCCTCAAACCCACCTACCCTCCCGTATTTTTTGGGTTTCCAGCTTCCAAGGCTACCGCCTTGCTAATTACTCTAAAATAACGATTGCGTGGTCAAACTTTAACCTTAATATAACCCTTTGATGACAAGGTTATGCTAGCAAAGCTTGGAATTAAAGGTCGGTGTCGAAAGTTTCCGTAGTGCATAGGTTAGACTCAGAATAGAATCTTCGGCTCTCGGCGGTTGGATGATTTACGTCGCAGTGTTTAGGTTTGCAAAAAAAAAAAAAACCTTGTCCAAGCCAGCCGTTACCTATATAAAGGCAGCCAATGTACTGCGTCGACATCCCACCTTAACAACCCAACTTCACTCGAGCAACAATGTCGCTTCTACTCCTGGCAGCTGCCAAGGCAACTCACAACCCTCACTCGGAGGAACGATGCAATCAGACCTCTTGGATTTTGAGGCTTCCCGCTGAACTTGTCACCGAAGTGTTCAAGCATCTCCCGAAGGCATCGGAAATCTGCTTAACCTTCACTTGCCGAGCGTTTTACAACATGTTCTCTCCCAAATTGCCTAACAGGCTGGACCGGTGGACTACACAAGATCTATTTCTTTTGCTCGAGAGAGATCGACCGGACTCCTATTACTGCTTCCATTGCAAAAAGCTTCACCGATGGGACCCGATGTTGCGAGGGTATCAGCTAGGAGACTGGGACGGAGACTGCTTTCGAAGTCATAGTTGGCATGATAAGGAGAGAGACTCGTTTTACATCAGCACAGATCACCAACTTGGCTTCCATGGGTTCCGGGTCATCATGAACAGCCATTTTTACGGACCTGCGCATGGGTTTGCACCTTGGGTTCTAGAGAAGGAGATCCAGAAGACCTGTCCACACACAGGATGCACAATCGACGAGGTTATTCGCACGCGAATCATCGACGGCGAGCTTTTCGTCTCCAAAATCTACAAGATGTCCCACCCCGATGGGGACGCCAAGAAGCTCAGACAGCTTGTCGAACACACCCCTTTGCGCATCTGCAGGCACCTCCAGATCGGACGCTATTGGGGTCGAGGAAACTGTTGGACATCCCGGGGCATTCGCTTTCTGCCGCGTCGGATCCCGGAACTCGAGCGCAGCCGTGGCGGGGGTTACTTCACCGGTTGTTCTGAAGTCGTCCGATCCTGTGGGGTTTGTATGACCGACTGCCAGGTTGACATTTGCGACCAATCAGATGGGGGGCAGTATGGCTGGTCCATAAAGATCGTCGCATGGTCCCAGATCGGAAAGGGCCGCGACCCTTTGGACAGCACATGGTTGGGAATATCACGTCCGGGATACGACTGCCATGCCAGTTGGCGAGCATTTGCGGAAGAACCAGAGTCTACATTGCCGGGCATTGTGAGACATAGGTGGAGCAAGATGGATGACATGTTAGTTGATGTGAAGGGAGAGTTTGCTGACGGATTTGATGATGGCAATGATGAAGGGTTAGCTGTGGACAGGGAGGGAAACCTGATCCTAGAGTGCGACCTACCTGTGTATGATTACTGAAAGATGAAAATATGACATTCCGAATATATTCTTAACCTGTCGGAGGTTTGTCTCTGGAATTTCATGACTTGCCTGCTAGATCTCGATGCAGCAGCAAAAAAACTGGATAATTAGGTGGTCGGTCCTAGGGTCCGAGGCTGCAGACCGGACGTCAACGCTTGACATGCCCAAGCTGAGGGAATTCACCATCTTGCCGGCGAGGAACGCTACTCACACATCCATTTTGCCTTTGGTGGTATTACTTCGGGCTTTGCCTTTGTTCTAGTACCTGAAGGGATTCCCGATTGCCGACATGTCCAAGGTGCTAGCCCTGGGGACGGGGGCCCCCGGCACAGACAGCAACAGCGACCCCGACATGATGTCGTTTGGTAGCACCTGCGTTTCCTACATGAGCGACGTGCCTAGCGAGAGGATAGAAGCCCCATAGTCCCCTCTATGCAACCCCCCTCCCTAATCTTGCTTGGCGTTGCACTGCTAGACAAGCTAAAGTCGGTTCTCGGCTATCGTCCGTCGCCAATTATAACTTCGTCTCACCCGACGACAACACTCCACACAATTGTACTCCACATAGTGTCACTGCTCCACTTCTCCAACCAGGTTAGTGAAATAAGTACATTTACACTCTCTTCTAAACCATCAAGACCATCATCGGTTTGTCCGTCTTTTGACACGATGCTCGAGTGAGATTTCTCTCATGTTTCGCAATCGACCAGACTCAACCAGAACACGACAAGTTACCACTATTGCAGGCCATGGCTTTTAGTTTTTTCCACCAGAGTAAAGGGGACCTCAGAGCCTACTACCTTGGCCTCCTCGTGTGCATTGGTGGATTCCTATTCGGATATGACACGGGAGTCGTGGGTAAGGTCCATCCGTGATACCATCAGCTCGAGAGACATCGGGGGAAGGGGGTCGAGAGACTTTACAAAGGTCAAGAAAGGCTGAATAACTCTAGGCGGCACCATCACCCTCGCCTCGTACCAATCCTCCTTCGGCTACCAGGAAAGCAGCTCCTCCAAGGTCACGCAGGTCAGCTCCCTAGCGGTCGGGTTGCAGCAATGCGGCTCCTTCATCGGCTGTTTCGCCATCTTCCCGCTGGCCTCCCGCCTCGGCCGGCGGCTGTCGATGCAGCTATCGGCTGCCGTGTTCGTCGTGGGGGCGGTCGTGCAGACCGCGAGCACGCACCACCTGTCGAGCTTCTACGTCGGCCGCATCGTCGCCGGCCTGGGCGTCGGCGGCACCTCCGTCCTGGTGCCGCTCTACGCCTCCGAGATGTCGCCCAAGAAGCTCCGCGGGAGGATCGGTAGCGGGTACCAGTTTCTTTTCACCTGGGGCATCTTTGCCAGCTATTGGTACGCAGGGCCGGTCTTTGGCACAGGTTGAGATGAAGCCCAATCGTGAATATCCATTAACTTTGTCTTGTTCTCCCCCCTCCCCAGGGCAAACTACGGCGTAAGCAAAGGCATCGACGCCACATCGGACAAACAATGGCAGATCCCCATCTCGATGCAGATCATACCCGGCGCCCTCCTAGGCCTGGGGATGATGACGATTCCGGAGAGCGCACGCTGGCTAGCCCAGCGCAACCGCTGGGACGAGGCATGGGAGTCGCTCAAGTGGATCCGCGCCTCGGAGGGGCCGGACGTGCGGGACGAGATGGACGAGATCCGGGAGGCCGTTGAGGCTGAGCAGCGGGTTACGCGCGGGTCGCTCAGGGTCGAGCTGCGGCGCAAGGTCACCGTCTTCCGACTGCTGCTGTCCTTTACCGTCATGATGTGCCAGGTGTGCACGGGAGCCAATGCGTTGGCTTACTTCTCGCCTCAGTTCTTCACGCTGGTTGTCGGGGAAGGGACCGAGGCCTTGCTCATCTCTGGTGTCTTTGGAGCCGTCAAGATTATCTCCTGTGGCGCCTTCGTGTTCTTCCTTTCTGAGAGACTCGGACGGAGGCTTGCTTTTTGCGGCGGGGCGATATTCATGTCAGTCTGCTTGTTTTGCGTTGCCATAGTCGTGAAAGTGAAGCCTCCCCCAGGTGGTGGTGTCGTTGACGGTGCAGGTATCGCCGTCGTTGCGTTAATCTACCTGGCCATCATAGCCTACAACATGTCCTGGGGTCCTCTGGGCTGGTGAGTAACTAATTCGGCATGCCTTTGCCCCAGTCTTGAGATTGCTTGGAAGCTAATTAATATTTATCTGTCCGCCGACAGGATCTATATCGCCGAGGTTCTCTCTCCCCAGACAAGGGATCTTGGAGTTGCCATCGCCCTGGGAACTCAGTGGATCTTTAACATCATCTGGTCGGTCGCAACACCGTACATGATTACCAACATCGGATGGGCCACGTTCCTATTTTTTGCGGCAATCAACGCCTTCAGCGCTGTCTTTTCTTGGTTCTTCGTCAAGGAGACGATGGGCAAATCCCTGGAGCAGATGGAGAGGGAATTCAATTCCGAAGCGGCCGACATGTCGTCTCGGACGCATGGAGGGGGTTACGAACTGAAGGAAGGGTCCGAACATGCAGAGCGGGTTTAATACAGCCGTGGGAAATATCATGGGCTGTTTGGGATTTGATCATGCCCGAGCGAGCTGGCAGGCTGAAATCGCATCAACTCTATTCGCTTCTAAGTATTAATTAATTAATTATTGCTTAATTAGGAAGCAAGCACATCTGACTAATTAGTACACAACGCTGAAGTCATCGTCAAATATATCCTGCCTCACGGTCCTCTGGTCGACTCTCTCGTCCCGCTCGTCTTGTCTCTTGGTGACCTCGGACAGAAGAATCGCCGTACGTTCGGCATTCACCGACCCCTTCATACCATGCATCCGGTCCAACACCCACTCTCGCTCCTCGAGGCTGCATTCCAACCCACACATAAATAGAGGCCAAAGCCAGGGGATGCCCGGCGACAGGCCCACAGGAGGAGGCGCAGTCGGACCTGAAGCGCCATCACCAGGTTCCCAACCATCCTGAGACGGTCCCTGCAACCCGGACGCGCAACCCCCATTCTGGTCATCATCCCCCGCTCCTCCCACAATCTGGTTCCTAGCCAACCTCAAAATCTCCTTAATCGCCCTTCTAACCTCCTCAGTAGCCGGGTAATGTATAAACGCCACCCGATGCAGCAATATCCCAATGGCATGAAAATGCGCCACATAAACCGCAAACCCCCGCATGATCCTCCCCGCAACCTGCGGATGCAACACCTCAAGCAACCCGGCCCCATCGGCAAGCACGTCGAGGCCGGCGGGGCGGCGGGCCCACAGGTCGCGCAGCTCCGCGCGCAGGCGCTGGCCCGCGCGGAGGACGTCGAATTCGGCGTCCAGCGTGCCGCGCGGGCGGTGGTGGCGGTCCAGCGAGATGATGCGCGGGATATAGGCCTGGCAGCGCAAGAAGAAGCGGTAGGCCGGGCGGTTGAGCGCGTCGTAGGCTATCTCTGCTGCGGAAGGGGGTTCGTCTGCTGGTGGGGGGGTGTCTAGGACCCGGGCCGGGGGATTCGGCTGGTCTTGTGGGGTGTCGGAGGAGAGATGCACTGAGCGGGAAGGGCCTGGTGAAGGACATTGTCCGGAAGTGGTGTCTGCTATTGTTCCGTTCGGGCTGGGTTGGTTGGCTGGGAGGTCCATGTCTGGAGATGGACGGTCCGTTTCGTTTTCCATGCCTGCGGCGTAGACTGCCTTGTTGTCGATGATTTGGATCCACGACAGGATGTGACTACCGATGCCTGTCCAGGACTTGAGCTTCTCGTTATGTTGCCTTAGGCGTCTGTAGGCTGTTCGTAGATGGGTTGTTGGCCATCGCCTAGGGCCTGCAAGGGGTTGTGCCATGATCTGGGAGGATGATAATTAGCAAAACGCGAACGGGAGGTGACAGTGTTGTGGCATGGAGCTAGTTTACTTCTGCATGCATCAGGAGGAATAGTGTTGCAAAGGCCTGCTTTAACGTCCAATCTTCCACGCGAATACTGGCCATCTCTAGGATCGCCTCCGCCTTGGTAGTCGCGCTCTGATAGTAGCCAAAGGCTTGCTCAACAGAACCTCGGCGCGAGTTTGCTAGGTGGAGCTCAGATACCGCACATATGGCATTGATCAGGTACGAGCAGTCACGGGCCATGCTCATCAAAGACAAATATGCCGATTTCCACTGCGAGTCGATCGGCGCGACGAGGGGGATTGGGTTTGATGTCGCATTGAACTGGGCGAGGAGAGACCGTTGGTGCTCCGTCACGTCAAACGTAGCCAGATCTACGCTTGTAGATGGCCTCTTCCGCGGAGTGTCATCTATCCCCGACTCTCTTAGTGTCGGCATCGGCATCGGTGTTGATGTCGACGACGACGCTGGGGCAGATTGTCGCCTGGATAAGTTGGCAATGGAGGATTGGAAGCGGGACTGTTGAGTCTGACCTGGTGGACCGGTTACATTATTACCTCTCGGGTTGTTGAATCTCGTCGGAGGCCCTTTCCACGGAAGGAGGGGAGATACGAACAAATCCTCCAGGGGTGATAATATCCCGGAGGGGAATGTTGTTTGCCATTGCGCCACATCGGCATCGGGAAAGCCCGAGAGGCCACTCATGCCTCCAATCACTCTATCGAGCTGTACTTGTTGCCCTGGAGATTCTTGCTGTGGCAGGTAATCCCGAGTCGGAGGCGGGTCCAGCTGAGAGAGCGGAGTGATGTCGGATTGCGGTAGCCAAGTAGGTGCCATGAACATGGCCTGCTGGTAGGAGTTGTACTGTGAGCTACTTTCATTGCTCGAAGCAGCTTCTCCTCGATCAGTACCCTCATTATTGCCAGCATCCCCACCACCGAGTTGGCCAGGGTCATAGCCACCCGCCTGACAGATGACTGAAGTCATCCTCGGGCTATTACGCCCGACCCCGTCCACAGATTTTCTCGAGCGTCGGCTTGGAGCTCCTGGTGGAGGGTAGTAGCAGTCTAGGTTGAGTCTACTGCAGTTGCCGCATCGAGTTTGCGCGTGGGAGGCTCCGTTTGGCTGATCGCAGCGGACTTTACGTCTGCGACAGGTCAGGCAACCCAGCTTCGTTCGTGGCCCTGAGCGGCCCGATGCCCGGGATCTTGGCGGGCTGTTAAAGGGATCCATCGGATGGCTGCAACACTCAGAGACTTGGTGACAAGCGATTGTGGGGATTGGGAAGCTAACGGGTCATGGGCGGGTCCGGGGTAGTTTGTGGGGTTGTTTGGTTGTGGGGTTGCGGAGACCGAGATGAGCGAGTTGTCAGTCGGGTGTCGGCCGCGGTGTGATTAGGGAGAGAGATTGCCGAGTGTTGGCGGTGGGCGAGAGGCGATACAAGTAGTCCTCGCCCCGTTCATGATCACCCCCCTGTTTACTTTAAGCGATAACTGGGTTGCAAGCGGGACTCCAAGAATCTGGATTGCGCCGCTAGATGACCCCGCTCCTCCCCAGCTTCAGGTGAGGAGGAGATATGGAGAGAGTACCCGGTTTTCGCGGGGAACTGGGTTAGGTTCCCCATCATGGTACCGCTTTTAGCCTGGTCTCACCATCTCCATCGCGATAGCCGAGTTGCGAAGAACCTATGAGAATCTATTAAGCTCGAGATGCAGAAGAGCCTCCACCTCCGAATGCGGCATCGAAATCAAGTCGAATTACACAATAGTAGTAGACGCGGTATCACGATGTTGATTATTACTTATATTATAGTCCATGTCACGCCTCCTCAGTTGGAACTTCTGATCTAAATAGACACAAACATCTACACAAACTGCATCTACCATATCGATTAACTGAAGTGCAACAGTCATGACTACCAAACGCCCAAACTTTCTCGTCATCGTCGCGGACGACTTGGGCTTCTCCGATGTTGGCTGCTTCGGCGGGGAAATCCGAACCCCAAATATCGACAAACTGGCTTCCCAGGGACATCGATTCACCGAGTTCCACGCGGCGGCGGCATGCTCGCCCACCCGGGCCATGATCATGACCGGGACGGACCACCACATCGCCGGCCTCGGCAACCTGATCGAGTGGACCATGCACAACGGCCAGAACACCACCAAGGGCGGATCTCTGGAGACCGCGCCTCAGCGGGGCATGCCGGGCTACGAGGGGTACCTGAACGAGCGCGTTGCCGCCCTGCCCGAGATCATGAGGGATGGCGGATACCACACCATCATGAGCGGGAAGTGGCATCTGGGACTGACCCCCGACCGATCTCCTCACACGAGGGGATTCAAGCGGTCCTTTGCCCACTTGCCGGCCTGCTCGAACCACTTTGCCTACACCCCCGACTTGAAGGAGGAGCAGCCTCCGCGCTTCCTGGAGGCCACTTCCATCCCGCTGCACATGGAGGACGACCATTACGTGAAGGAACTTCCCGATGGGTGGTACTCGTCAGACGGATATGGCGACATCATGCTCAAGTATCTCGAGGAATGGAAGGGCATCAAGGACAAGGACAAGGAGGGCGATCATCCCTTCTTTGGATACTTCCCTTTCACTGCGCCGCACTGGCCATTACAGGCGCCACAGAAATACATCAAGAACTATCGCGGGTGTGTAATTACTCCTTGTCTCGTCATTCCTCCCGAGACGCTCACCGACCAACGCAGTTGGTCCACCCCTGCTAACTGAGCTTCAGAGTGTACGACGATGGCCCAGATGCGCTACGCCTGCGCCGCCTGGAGCGTCTCAAGAAGATGGGACTAGTCCCGGAAGACGTCAAGCCGCATCCGGTAGTCGCCGAGGATTCCCCCGAGTGGGCGGACATGACGCCGGAGCAGCGCGCCAAGTCTTGCCGGGCGATGGAATGCTTTGCCGGCATGGTTGAGTGCATCGACGCCAACGTGGGCAAGGTTTGTCGCGGCCCCTTTCCTTCTCCCCCGATATAAGTCATGGCGCGCTCTAATTGTGGGCTAACTCCCTTCCTTCTTCATGAAAAAAAGGTGGTGGACTACCTCGAATCGATCGGAGAGATGGACAACACCTTCATCTGCTTCCTCTCCGATAACGGCGCCGAGGGCGCTGCGTACGAGGCATACCCGATTGTGCAGACAACCGTCATGGAGCACCTAAAGCAATACTACGATAACAGCCTCGACAACCTCGGCAACGGCAACAGCTTCATATGGTACGGTCCCCGGTGGGCGCAGGCTTCGACGGCTCCCTCGCGCCTGTACAAGGCCTTCACGACCGAGGGCGGCATCCGAGTCCCCTTCGTGGTGAAGTACCCGAAGCAGTTCGAGCCGATGGCCGGCGGCGAGGCCGCACAGCCCATCACGCACAAGTTCGCGACGGTTATGGACCTCGCACCAACGGTCATCGAGATGGCCGGGCTGACGCACCCGGCTCCGACGTATCAGGGGCGGGAGGTGGTGAGGATGCGCGGCGAGTCGTTCGTCCCCTTCCTGAGGGGCGAGAGGGCGGGCGTGCACGACGCAGAGTTCATCCAGGGATGGGAGACGTGCGGGCGCGCGGCAATCCGCAAGGGCGACTGGAAAGCTGTCTGGATCCCGAAGCCGAAGGGGCCTGACCGGTGGCAGCTGTATGACCTGAGCCGGGACAAGGGCGAGATCGAGGACCTGTCGGGGGAGGAGCCCGAGAGGATGAAGGAGCTGCTGAAGCTGTGGGACGACTACGTTCTCGAGACTGGGATTGTCACGTTGTGTCCCGACCAGGGGAGGTTCGTCGACGCGATGGAGGAGCAGATGACTGAGACGGGCTGGATGGAGTACGAGCACTGGCATAAGGGTGCCCAGCCTGGAGGTCCAAACATGCAGAAGTTCATGACGAAACCCCCCCGGTTCCAGAGAACCGTGAACCAAATTTGAATTGCTCCAGGGGTGTCATTACTCTGTACCACTGTACCGCTGTACCGCTGTACCACTTAGTTGGCGGTTTTCTTTTCTAGACAAAATATATCAACAAATCCTCTTGGAAAAGCAAGCTTTCTAAGATGCCTGCTAAAACTTAACGTGATAATAGTACCTTGATTTTTGCTGCGCTGTCGATGTGGCGCTTGCCGCACGTTCCCGTAACCCTCAAACAGCCCCAAGGCAGCTAATGCTACCTGTACATTCAGGGTCACATGGTGGTGACATGCTGCTGAATCGGATCTTGCGTCTTATAGCATTAAATTCCACTAGGCTCCGTCGCGATCTTAGTTGGTGGATGCTAAGGTACACAGATAGAATCGTCACTGTAAGCTGGATTGGCATGGCTGTGTCACTAAATAATAACCCTGGCGACTCAGAATGTCTCGGGATTATCAAATGCAGACACAGCTCCTGCTTTACCAGATGGAATGAGACGGTAGTTAAGGTAGGCATGATACCGTCGATGCAGCCAAAGGCAAACTCGCAATGCACGCGAGGAGGCTCGTCCTTTTCACTCTCATGGTGCGTCTGTGGCGGGTAAATGTGAACATCTCCCAAAAGTAACCTCCTAAAGGCGCAAACAAGGACCTGGCTCTGCGCCCTGCGACGCTGGTGGCAGTACTCGTGCAGGTCCTACAGTAGTGCGTCCTTGATCAGGTCATGTTGGGTGCGTTTTTACAAGGTAATTTCAGATTTGAGTATCTTGCTTTCCATTTTTAGGTACCTTACTTGCGGTACCTGCATAAATAAACTCTCCAGGACTCTACACTGTCTACCAATTGTCGACAATACATAAGACTTGAACAGTACATGAGAGAGATTCTACAATGGGCGACAAGCAAAAGCCAAGTTCTTTAGTGGCAACATCCAAGAAAGCCAAGAGGGTGGGCGTAGCTTGGCGCAGAACCACGATAAATAAGCTTTCTTCCGCAACAGGCCATTATTAGTTAGTGCGAATAACGAAATAGGGGGCGTATGCGTGTAATCTATCTGGGTATTGTATCTATTGTTACCATCAACTGTTGAAACCAACTGTCGCTCGCCTTCTCGGCTGGGGGTTTTCCCCTACATCCAAATTAGTGCAAATGACTGTTGTGGAAGGGCGTTGTCCCACCAGCCTCTTTTTTTTTTTTTTTTTTTGCTTTACCCGTTGCACCCGAGTAATATCATCTTCACTAACCGGCGTTCGTCAAACCAACAAGAGGCGGGGCTGCATTCCGCATGGCGGGCCCGGACGAAGACGACTTTCTTCACGCCTTGAGAGGTGGGTTTTCCCGCTGTGCCCCCAACCCGCCGCAAAATCCGCCACTACCTGGGTGACCCCCTGTAATCACAGCAATGGTTAACCCCTCTTTTCCCTCGCTCCTCCGTGCCACGGAAACGCCTACGCAAAAACGTACGGAAACACCGACCAATATGGACGCCAAAATGCCTACTAGAGGCAATACAGAAACACCTAATAACGCTTTCACAATCACGCGGGTGACCGTGGCCGACGGCCCCGCCCTCGCGGCGACCAACATCCCCGCCTTCTGGGCCGACGCCCACTGGCGGATTGAGTGGCGCCACCGCGCCCTTGACTACCATATTTCGCAGGTCGCCCTGCGGTACCCGCGCAACCTGCTGCGGAACCGGGCGACGGCGCGGCACCAAAAAGCCGTCGATACCGTCACGGGCAAGATACTGGGGTACGCCCGGTGGTCGATTCCTGTCTCACACTCTACCATCACCACCACTGCCACCACCTCCACCGAAAACAGCACCGAAGACGCCTCCACCGACAACGAGGGTAACGGCACGCCCGCCTGGCCCGAGGCTCTCGTCCCCGCCGTGTCAGCAGACGAGGAGGCCGAGATATCCCGTGTGGCCGACACGGCCGTTTGGGACCCAGACTGCACCTCCGACCCGCTTCTAGATCGGGTGCGCGAGATTGAAAAGGAGGTACTGGGCCGCAAGGCATACATGAGTTCAGTACCCTCACTCTCACATCTTACACTTACCCAAACATGGACTGCAGGCATAATTAATCATCTGCAGTAACTGCGTCCAAGTAAAGAAAAGTAATTACCGAGTGAATGCTTACGTTAATAAATAGTGCTCGATTACCTCGCTGTTCATCCGACGCAGCAGCGGCGGGGCGTCGCCACCGCTCTCGTCCGCAGCGGGATGCGGCAGGCGGAGAAGTTGGGTCTCGACATCTTCGTCCACGCTATGAAACCCGGCGTGCCAGTGTACCAGCGGCTGGGGTTCCGGATGGAGCGCGAGCTCATCCAGGACGACTCGCAGTACGGGGGTCCCGGCCTATTTGGCGACTATTTTCTCATTTACGAACAGCCTGACAAGCCCGGCAACTAACACCAAATTGTCAGCTCAGCAAATATACAGCAATTATGTTTCTATTTCACACAAATGCATCGCTTGGCGAGGGGGACGGAAGAACGAAAGGCGAGGCCTCGGCTACACCAGGCCAGTCTGCATGGTCATGTTTCCCGAGCCCAAGGGGGATCTTTCACCCTCGTGCCGCAGGTCTATTAGATTCTCCCCAAACACCGTCTCACCCATTAACCCCACGCGGTTAAACAACAATCTGGTACCCCTGGCTCAGGTACCACTCTGATTTTTCTTGGTCAGCAAGTTCGGGTACGCACGCCCGCACCGATAAAGGGCCTAGTAGGTCGCGGCAGCGTAGACGCAAGTATCACCGACGAAGTGTCAGCTAATTACCTAATCCGACGTTGTTGCCAAGTTCGACAATATCAGACCATCAGAGCTCAGCTGAGTGCCAAGGATCGGTGCTCGGCAGTCGGTCTTTGTCCTTGTTTGGGCCGTTTATGTGCACGGACATCCCTAATAGGGAAGCCGAGTGGGGAGATCCCGAGCAACTGACCAATCAATTGCCCGCCGCAGGCCAACGACGTGTGTATACAACGCTGGCCATCCAGTCTCAGGGGTTAACGGCACGGCCTTCGGCCCATGGCAATCTCCGCGCAGTCTGCGGCCGAGTCTCGGCCGCCGACAAGGGTAGTATAAACAAGCCCAGTGGTTCTTTTTTTTTTTAGTAAAAAAAATCGGTTCTTAGCTCTTCAAATACAAGCTAGAACGCAAGTGCTGTCATCGATCGCCACCCGTTGGTCTCCCGACGCTACCGACGTAACCAATTCTGCCGTACAAGTCTCACCCCGAGTTTCACAATGTCACGCTATGTGGACACACTGCCAGCTCCTACGAACCCAAAGGAGAAGAAGGTGATAGTGCTTAGTTTTGGACGGTATGTTATCACAAACTCGACGAACTTCCCCCATTCTACCGCCCGCGCCAGGGAGGCGCCAAGCTGTCGTAGGCTAACTCTCGGAACGCAACTTAGAAATGGCACCCTCGGCCTATATTACGCGCTGCAGAAGCTTGGATACAACCCGTGCCACATGCGCACCGTGTTCCTTGGCGGCGCGCACGAACTGAAGCTTCTCCGGGAGGCCGCCCGTGGAGGAACATACAGTGGGGAGAAACCATTCAGCAAGGAGGATTTGCAGAAATGGCTCGGCGACTACGACGTAATTACAGTGTCTTCCCTTTTTCTCTTTCCGTTTTCGCGATGATGATGGCCTATAGTAGACACTTACCCAGGTTCTCTTCTTTTCTTTTCTAGGCGATCACCGACATCACACCCTTCATCTTGGAGGAGGCCGTCGCCGCGTGGCCGGATGCTAAGTTCATCTTGACCACGCGCGATGAGGATGCCTGGTATCGCTCTATAGAGAATACCATCCTTCCGATGTCGAGAAAAACTAAGTCGCCGTTCTTCAGACTGCTCGGGATGTTCAACTCGTTCTTGTACGAAATGGGGGGAATGACCGATACCTTGGGGGGATTCATCTGGAAAGACAGAGCCATCGATAACAAGGAAGCGGCCATAATGACATATCGCGCACAGTATGTCATATGTCATTCCCCATGCTTTTCTGTCGCTTGACATATTACACATTATATGCTAACGATGCCTTGCAATAGCAATGAGAAAGCGCGAAGCCTTGTGCCAAAGGATCGCATGATCGAGATCAAGCTCGAGGATGGTCTCGGCTGGGAGCAAATCTGCCCCTTCTTGGAAAAGGAGATCCCCAACGAGCCTTACCCCCGCGCAAACAATGCGGCCGAGTTCAAGGAGCTCACAACGAGCATCATCGGCCCCAGTGTTCGCATGGCTATGCTGAACATGGCGACCACAGTCGTGGCGCCGTGTGTGGCAGTCGGGGCGTGGTACTATCTGCGATATATCAGAAAGTGAAACGCAGCCACTTTGAGAAGGAAGAGAGAGCACATTCCAGGCTGATTTGTTCATATGTAGCTGTCTAAGTCATCGGCGATAGCTTTGAGGTAGATAAGGGTATCGAGCTGGGCGATGTGCAGGGCGTAAGGCATTGTGGTATCTTGTCTCCGTTGACGACGTTCTTCGTATTAAGATAGATTTGGCTCATTGTCGTCGTTGTTGTCGTCGTCTTCGTCATTGCCGCTGTGACCCACGCCAAGCTAAGACAAATCCCATCCAAAACGTCTAATTTCAGGCAACATATCTAAAAAAAATATGTAACTGCAGACAAAAACCGGTCAGGTGGTGTTTGTAACTAGACTTCGTTGAGACAGCTTAATTCCCTCTGTCTGTTAGTGAGATCCGAATACAAATCCTTCATTGGATGGACCTCCTGAGCTATCGATATGGCCCTTTGTAAGTTCCCAAGTACTTCAAACCCACCTCGTATGCTATCAGCCACGTACCCTTTCGCCCGCACTACACTGACTGCCACACGGGAGCTGTCGCCGTCATAGCAGAGTATTAGAACACGCTTTCCGTGGAGGATTTCCCGAAGCTCTTGGGTTGGCTGCCCGAATGTCGCGTCCAGTCTCTTCCACAGCGACTCGAGGACTGCGGCGTCCGAGAATGGTCTCGGAGTGCTCGGGTGAACGAATGGCAAGTTGACAGAGCTAGAGAAGTGAAACTGCTCAAAGTCCGATGCCTGTCGAAGATCGATAATTGTAGCATCTGGCCTGGGAGTAATCGAACCCTCCAACCCTATGATATCCCCGTGGCCTGGCGTCGGGGTGGACAGAAGATCATTGGCCAACACCTTGTCAACTTGGAAAAATTCGTGCAGTGCTTCTGACGCTTTTCTTTCCCACTTCTTGTCGTAACTGTAGAGATCGACTTTTGTAAGTCGCTGGCGGTGAAAATGGCGTTGTTAGCTTTTCCTTCGGAAGTTCAAGAGGCTTTCTGATGAACTTGGGTCTTTCATATACCTCGTTCTTGATCACGGGGAAGTACGACTCCCCAAGCTTGTCGAAATACTCGTTGATGTACTGGTACGGGAGATCGCAGCAGAGGAAGACACAGTGGATGTCTCCATCCGGCCCGGCCAGCTCGGAAAGAGTACCATCATCTTTCCGTTTCTCAATGTACTGGAAAATCCCTCTCAGGTTGAATCCGGACGATGGCCCACAAATGATTCCTTGCCGACAGAGGTCGAGCGACATCGAGTAAGAATCGAGAGCACTGACGTGTTCGAGATGATCCACAGACGACTTCCAAGGGAATTCGACAGGTGCGAGCAGCGCATATGACCGTGGCCCCGGCACCCGGTCACCTGCTTTCGTGCACACCCTACACGCAAGACTGTCAATTTTGTAGACCTCTCACACCCAAGTTTCCTGGCAACATACCCGAGACGGAACACAGAGGGCTTGACGTCCTTGAAGTATATGCCTAGGCCAGTCATAGTTCCTAGTCTACGTCAATCCTCAACTAACCTCAACACGCGTCGCGTGGAAATCTCACCCGAAGTTCCCATGCCAGCACAGATCAAGCTAATCTCAGGCAACTGCCGAAAGATCTGGGGGCCAGTCCATCTGATGTGAGCTTTCCAGTTCTAATAGGAAGAGAATGCCATCAGCGACTGTCATTGGAGATTAAATGGATATGCAAGCTCATTTGTGACTCACGTCGTGGTTCTCGTACTGATTTGGGTTGACCATAGACTCAGAGGTTTGGGCCAGCCTCTCTGCGGCCCTGATGCCCCCGCGGTCGTCGAGTGGCTCTGCCTGAGACGGCCCACCAAACAGTGTACTAAGTGCTATTAGATAATTATGTGCCAGGGTGCAGTAGCTGCATCGCCTGATGAAGAATAACCTTACATGTCTAGTCCGAAGAACTGCATCAACCGCAGTTTGGCCGTGCTCGTCTTGTTGCTTAGGTATGCTCGGACATCGGGCAGGTTATAAAACACCCGGGATACCATCGACATGGATATCACCGTCGAACCCGAGCTGTACTCAATTATGGTCTTTGTCTTGTCTGGATCCACGCTCTTCTCGAGGAGGTTCATAGCTGGAGACTTGAGTCAATAAGTCATGTCTAGTAAAATAAACTTGGAGCGCCGAGTCCCGAGCGCCGAGTCCCGAGCTGCTAACCTGGAACGGCCTTGACGTTATTGGCTGGATGCATCGACATCATCTTGGCATATATGCGCACGCCATCTTTCCGATAGGGATTAAGACAGTCGGGTATCTCGACGAGCGGCAGCGGAGGCGACGAATCCGGGTCAAAATAATTGCGAACAGAGTCTGGACCTCTGTACACGTTGAGGGGATTGATGCTTGCCATGGTTCCGGTTCTCGGGGACGTTTCTCTACGTGCTTGGCTATGCACGAGGGAGATAGAAAAGGCTTAAACTTGGGGAACGGGAGCTACTTATTAACTGCCGTGCCGCTAGTGGGTTCGTGCAGGCCTATGTTACATCTTCTGGTGGGAACCGGCTTTACGGGAAGCATGACATCCTTGCCTCCACTCGCAGACACTGTCTAGGTAAAATAAAAATAAATGGGGTGGTGATAGTGATTGATAGGATCTGCTCGTCTCGTCTCTTTCTTGGGATGACGTCACTTCCCGTGCCGGTTCCCATTTCAGCCTTTCATTGGACACGAACAGAATGTAAAGAATAACCCCTTCAGAAAGATGTCGACAAGAAGCCGGGATGTGGCTCGGCAGATATCTCACGCGCGCCCTCCTACTATCATCCCTGTAAGATTTGGAAGAGAGGTTACAAGGATACAATGGCAGGACTATAACGCATGTATGCATAGGAAGGTGTGCCTACGTTGATCATCGCTGTAAAGAACAGGTATAGATATCCTGGAGCTGACTATTAGACGCTACGAGGCCACTGTAGCAGCGAACCCCGATAGCAGCGTTTTCCGTCGCAACTAGCATCGAACCTTGACAGTACTTCCCTACACGTTACCTGTATTGTGATTACGTGAAAAGGTTCCGCTGCTGCTAGACGCACTATGTATGTAAAGCTTGAAGTCAACCGGCTATCGGTCATTAGTGTCCTGCAGTGTATGTGTAAGATGTGGTATATAGGCGTCTCATCTAAATGTAGCCAGCTGTCGGCGGTGTGATCCAATTTGTTCGTCTGAGAGGGCACAAATGGCACGGCACAGAGGGCATGCATTGAAATCATGTTAAATTAAGTACCTCAGTGGCTCATACTATCACCTGCTTACTTATTTGTCACTAATCCCTGTACGGCTAACATGCGAACTGGTCGCAGGCACATTCTCATGTGCCACTTAATAACCCTGCTACGAGGCGGGTGGGCTAACCGAGCACAGCTCAATTGTCCCGTGACTTCTGTTTCATAACTACTGTGAACGGAATACTGCACAGTAGATTGGATGGCTAAACCCCTGCTTTCTTCTTACCCAAAGATTGCAACTGTGTTTGGCTGCCCGCTCGGTGCAATGGGCCCATAGCCCCTTAAAGTAGATGATCTACCGCCTATGGGAGAGCTGAGGGGATTAACAGGAGGTGGCCATTTAACAACGGAGCTACTAATTAGTTATTTAGGACAAGTGTTTGCTCTATTACGCTCAAAAACAGCGAGGAATGCTACACCATAATGTGGGCGGCGGGCATGACGACTGCATACGCATGGACATTCACCTCGTTCCAGTGGGGATCGGACCCTCCAGCATCGCAAAACGTGTAGCCACCTCTTGCATGCCCCACCCATTAGGCAAGCTGGTGTAGCTCCGGCATCAATCTCGAGGTGGAGCCCACCGCATGGGTTAGCTATGATGGACTGGAACGTTGCCATCGCCCGGATCAAGCATGTCCTCACCTGACCGACCGAAGTGGGCGCTCCAGACTTCATGGTCAGCTCTACTGCGGATCGTACTGTTCCGGCGAGGGGTTTGACGAGTTCATCCACTGTGTGAAGCTGTACCTCGAGGTCGGGGCAACCACGTTATTTATCTTCCAAGGCAAGGGTAACTAAAGCTGCGACCTACCTATGGAACATTTCGTTGCAAGCATTCCTAGGAAACACTGTTAACCCCCCAACGCAACGCCTGTGGTTACCTACGATACCATTTGGGAACTTGAGAATCATCCGCCCGATTTAAATGTCTAGGGCATCGCCTGTCGACTAATATGCCGCCAGCTGGACAGAATACGTCGCGACAAGCGGGGGACTGCCTAGCTGTGCCTGTTTGTCGGCGGCGAGGGCGGCATTGGAAACTCGCGCGTCATCGAGGCCGTTGTCGAGCTGTTTTCTAGCAAAGAGGTGTCGTATCGTCTGCTGGTGACGGCAACATCGGCGACGGCTGTAGCACGGAACAACGGAGCGATGATCCATTCCGCCTGCCGCTTCTCCAAAGTGCTGATTCGATTCAATTTGAGGCTGAGGAAATGTGGCTTCGGTGGAGGGAGCGGGAGGAAAGGCAAGGTGCCATGGGGCACTCTAGAGCGGGATATGTTAAACGCTGAAGGCCTTTCCTTGGGCTATTATTGCAGTGCATCGTGAGAAGGACTCGAGTGTCGCGAGGTTTTAACGTTAACGTGTTCGTAGGCCCTCCTCTTGGCTGCTCGTCGGCCTGGGCCGTAACGCCAACTAGCAATGAGATTTCTTCACGGCCTTGATTGGCTAGTCTGTATGGAGATTCTCGCTGGGGCCCATTGCTGCCTAACGGGCGAGCTGAAGCAGCCGACCCAAAAAGGTGACGGGAACCTGACGCAACGTTTTGCTCACCATTTGCGTTTCGGAATGTTACTATTTTATCCGCCAAATTGATGAATCATTCTGAATTTAACTTCATTGATGGATCCTGTTACTATTAGCAAGATCATCTCTTTAGGTCTATCTATTGCCTTACGGTTGTATCGGATCTCGGAGGGAGTTGGGTCCGCTGGACGCGAAGTGCGCATATATGCCGATGAGATCGCCTCATTTTCAAAGCTTCTGAACCGGATTTAGGAAGAGCTGGACAGGTCCATCAACGTCTCCATCGACTTGCAAAGCTTGATCCAGGATGTTGTCAACAATTGCGAGCGGCTGCTCACGCCACTGGATAACCTGAAGATCACCCTCACGTCGCTACTTGCTCACTTCCGAGACAGCCCTGGGAAGTTTCGCCAGTTTGGAATAAGACTACAGTGGATCTTCACGAGCAAGTCGAATATCGTGTTCTATCGCGAGGCATTAAGGGGCCAGCACAGAATCTTGGACATCACTCTGCAGATAATGATTTATCTTACGACGAGAGATCGCAGCTTGGAGAACATTTCGTACGTCCTCCTTACTTCACATGCCTATAGACCTGAAAACTAATTCTCCTAGTATGCTCCGATAGTTTATCGAAATCTCCACGGTAGCCGTTGATCTCACCTTACGAGACAAACGCGACCCTCAACCCCGGCTTGATCGGGCTGAAGGCCTTCGCAACGGAGCCTCGGATATGACACCCATAGGATACATCGTTGAAGAAACAGATGATACTCTAAATAGGGAATCATCCCCTCAGGACTCCGCGAGCCCCGTGGTCACGATACAGTCTCCCATGGACTCAAATATATCTCAAGACAAGCTCGAGGATGAAGAACTCCGCGATCTCGAGGACAAAATAGATCGCGATCTTGACACAGAAACACCGGAATCCGCGAGGGATATCTGGGACGACACGAAAGCTCTGCAAAGGAAAGTTCATCGTCTAGCTACCGATACTTTGCGAGCTGGGCCTTAGGTCGTTTTATACCCAAAGGGTCTTCTTGAATCAAAATCTGGAAGGACCGAAGATGAAGAGTCTTCGAATAGCTAGCACGAAAAATCTAGATATTCGATGGAGGAGAAAAGGGTTATGGACCATGAGTCTGAACTCGAAGTTGAGAGGCTAGAGAAGGAGGTGGAGGCACTCAAGGCAAAACTGGAGAAATTGGAAACCGAGAAGCGGGAAAGAGAGATAGAGACACTTGGGGCGAAAGTGGAGATTTTGCAAACTGAGAAGAGGGAAAATGAGAAACTCAAGGCAAAACTGGAGAGCTTGCAAACTGAGAAGCAGGAAAAAGAGGATTGGGCAAAGCAGAGAAAGCTTGAAGAGAAGATTAGAAGGGACACTGAAGAAGCGTTGGACAGAAGAATGAAAGAAGTAAGAAAATCCCAAGAAGAGGCAAGGAGAGAAATCGGAAAGGCAGAAGCCGAGGCCAAAAAAGCTGCACTAGAAAGGCTAGAGGCGGAGAGGGAGACGGAGAAAGTGCGGCAAAAGCAGCACAAAGAGGTTATACGACAAGTTCGAGAGAGCGTTGAGGCGGAACTAGAAGCGAAAAATATGCAGAAAAGGCAAGAGGCCGAGGCAGCAGCAGCAGCAGAGGCTGTTGCTAGAGCAAAATTCGAGGCTGAGATGGTGGCGCAGAAGAAGCAAAAGGGGATTAGAAAGTATTTGCCTAGTTTAAAATGAAGCAGTTGGTGACAGACTAAGTGCAGCCTGATAGCCAGGGGTTGGGAAAAGTATAGCTGACTGCTTTGTCTGCGGTTTATAGACGAAGACTGTTTAGTATTTCGTTGAAGAGACCGCGATTTTTCAACAGAATTTGTGGTGCATTGAAGCAAAGGGGTTCAAATGTTCAGTCGAAATCGGTTCGCACGTAGGGATCTTCTCCCTTCATTTTCTACAGGACTGTGTAAGTGAATGTATTCAATCTCTTTTAATAACCCCCCCAAATCGCCTTTTCTTACTGTATGTGTGATACGTGCGATACTTTGAACGAGCTCTGTCATTGATAACTCCCATTGATTGTGAAAACCTTTCAACCGTTTAAGTTGCAGCAAGCTGGCCTAGCAATTGCTACCAAGAGGGCAGGCGGATCATGTGGGAGGCAGGCATCACAGTAGTGACGCCGCTGAAAAGGAACCGCTGGAACCCGAACGTCGAGGCCATAATTAAACTGAGCTGGAAGGTCGTGACGCCATTCACCATTACGCGCTTGAGAACTGCATTCCCAAGCGGCCATTCGTCGAACTGCGCTATTATATGGACCTAGACAGCCTTTCTTCATGGTGAGAACCTGGCGGAGTGGGGACACTATGCCAGCCGGGGCGCTTCCGCTCTGGGCCTGAGGCTCGGGCTTGCCGTGATCGGGAGGGGCTAGCGTCCGAGCGAACCCGCCGTGTGGGGACTGTCCTGGGAAGGATCGACTGGATAGGAGAGCTCGTCTTGCGGCGCTTGCGAGGTGACAGGCGTGTGCCATCGTCTTCCTCATCCACTGCGGTAATTTCTCATAGAATCAAATCCTATTAAGTACTCGTCTTCTCTTTTACTTGCGATACCACATCCTCGTCACCTTTGTCTTTCTAATCTTCCTCTGCAGCTGAAAAATACCCTGCAGCAAAGCTTCTGCCGTGGGCGGGCACCCCGGGACGTAGACGTCGACAGGCACTATCCTATCCACTCCTCGAACGACGCTGTAGCTGTAATGATAATACCCCCCTCCGTTGGCGCAGCTCCCCATGCTCAGAACCCACTTCGGGTCCGGCATCTGGTCGTATAGCTGACGGAGAGCCGGAGCCATCTTGTTGCACACTGTGCCTGCGACAATAAGGAGATCTGACTGCCGTGGTGATGCCCGGAAGATGATGCCTTGACGGTCGTTGTCGTAGCGAGGCATAGAGGCGTGCATCATCTCTATACCACAGCAGGCGAGGCCAAATGTCAGAGGCCAAAGGGACCCTTGTCTGCCCCAGTTGACCGCCTGATCCACTGTTGTGCTGTCGTGTGGGTTAGCGAGGAAGGCGCGTATGTATGAGCTGTCTCTAGAGTGGTACCGACAGAAAATAGTCTACTGCGCCGGTCTTTTCCGTATCTTTCGTTGCCAGGGCTGTACTCTTCGTTGAGGCGATCGACGGAGTTGACACTGGCGTGTATCGCTGGTTACTGTAATATCGTGGAATTGGCGTAGCTTTCGGCAGCAACTGGTAGTATAGCCGGACCTGGGATCGAGGATCTGATGGCTCGAGTTAATAAGGTCATTAGAGACGTCGCATTTAATGAGGAAATAACTTGACTTACCCCGACACAGACGTCTTATTTCTCCTACGCTCATCCTCTTAGTAGTTACTACCAAGCGAGCAGTGGCAACGTTGGAGATAGTACAGTCGAAGAGAACCGCAAGGGAGGAAGGAGAGGAGACGGGAGGTGGAACCTAAAAAGGGAACCCGAGCTCCCCTACTTCTTTCCCCCTTGTGACTTTATATAAGTACGGCGGCCTCGGGAGAGAACCCACATGGCGGGAGAGAACCCACATCGGGACAGAACCCACATCTCGGAACTAATCCCACATCTCTATTGTGGGGAAATCAGATGTCTGTGCCCCTCTCTGGTTGGCCCAGATTTCAAGTACCTGGTATGCCATACTGTGTGACCCACTAATGGGAGTGTTAGGCCAATCAAGTGGACTTAAACCAACTTGAGCGAGGTGGGGAGGGGAATTGAAAGATTTATCTCTCCTCCTCCTCACTGTAGGTTGGTACTGTACATTACCTGAAGCTGAAGCGACAGCATCTGCGGGTAATTACACATACTACTTGGGCAAGGGAACATGCCAGATTCCCTTGGCCCCACCGGTCCGACTCTTGGGCTACGGTGCTTGGTGTGCAGCAAGGATTATTCTACCATCAGCCACCTCCGCCGTCACGAGGCCACACGTACGCACCTCGGACCCCCAAATGACCCGCTGCTCTGCTCAGTGTCGTAGCTAATCTTGAGGAACCGACAGATACCGGGCGCCACCAAAGCTGCCCCTTATGCAGTAAGACGTTCTCGAGACGGTAAGTTTAACCCCCAACCCATCCCGATTCTGCGCGGCATTCCTTACCTCTCTACTAGTGATGTTCTTCGCCGACATGTCCGCCGCTGCGGCGATGACAACCAAGGTGTCTCTTTACCCACATCGAAGAAAGGTAAGAAATGCCACGCTTGTGATGCATGCTCACGAAGCAAGCTGGCATGCGATGGAGGGGCGCCTTGCTCCAAATGTGTCTCCCGCAAGACCAACTGTGTACGCCCCTTGCGGGAGAATGCCGATGAAGCCACTTCCACATCCAGGCTCATCGTGGGGGAGTCTAAGACTCGTGAGACTACAAGGATTCCGATTGATTTCCTACTGGGGCTCGCGAACCCGTCCTCATTTGGCACATCGGAGGCGGTCAATGCAGGAAGGGCAGCCGACGACACCCAAGGCATCCCGGTGCCATCGAATCTTATACCGGGCTTCGGCTTCGGGAACTCGACGCCCGAGGAGGAGGACTTCTCATTTTGGGAATCCATTTTCTCGCCAATGGCCTTTAATCTTGATCCTCATCAGGATCCTCGTCAGGCGCCCAATGAAGACTTTCTTCTCGAGGAGCGCTTTACACCACCCGCGACCCCTTCCTTGACCGCCCGGATGATTGAAGTTGTGCAGGGTCTCTCCTACGCACATGAGAGCATGATCTTGAACGGGATGACGGCGGAATCTCCTTTCGACGCTCAGCTCGCAGAGACTGTATTCACAGCCGAGAATCTCGCATACTTTAATCGTGTATATTTCCGCTACGCCCACCCTTGGCAACCATTCATCCACCGGCCCACCTTCGACCTTGAGAAGACTTGCCTTCCTCTAATGCTAGCCATCTTCGTCATGGGTTCGCTCTTCTCTGCACCTCTGGATCACGCTATCTCGGCACGTTGCTTCTTCGACGCTGCGGAGGACTACATCTTCAGTCATCCGACTTTTCGAAAACTTCTATACAAACGACCCTCTCCCCATTCAGCATTGGGAATGGAAGAAATCGAGGTTTTACAAGGCGCCCTCATCATCCTAATTGTGCAGAATAGCATAAATAACGAGAATAAACGTCGTCGTATCCGCATCGACAGGCTCCCCCGCCTCTGTACAGCCATGCGGTTCTCAGGCATCTTCAGTGCGAAACGTCAAGAGCCCAACGAGGCAGAGTCTGTCACGCTTTATTGGGGAAAGTTCATCAGGGATGAAACCTGTATTAGGTACTGCTTATACACGCCCCCCAATAGCATGTGAACTGTGGGCTAACGAAAGGGTGTAGGCTAGGAGCATGGTTGCACACTGGCGACAGTTTCATCGCCGGCTTCTTCAATGGTGCCCCGCAGGTGTTTATTTCTGAGATTGTGGGCGATATGCCCTGTCGACAAGAACTCTTCGAAGCAGAGTCAGTGGATGATTTCCAGCGTTTCCTGGCAATGGGACAAGCTAGGTCGACTCCCCTATCGTTATCAGCATCGGTCTCCTTTCTTCTCAACGACACCTGGCCAGGGCCAGCCGATGATGTGTACAGCAACATGACGGCAGATGACTTGTTCCTGGTAATCAGCGGTACGTCCGAACTGGTCGCCCCTAATTCTCCGTAGATACGACTGGCTAACTATAATTGTTTGTCTCTAGCGCTGGGTTGCACTGCTATCGCAGCAAGAACAAGTTGCCTCACCAACGTGTCGGCCAAGGCCCTCCTCCGAGCCTGCTGGCGATGGAAATCCATTTGGGACGCTATTGAAGCAAGGGAAGGCACTACACAGCCACCCAAGCTTGGCTTCGTGAAGCACGCCCTTGAAATGTGGTGGTTGGTGGCCACTCATGTCAAAATTGCTGAGGCCGGGGATCTAAGTTGCCAGCATATGCGAACTGTACCAACAGACACTATGGACAGCATGAACGAGTTTTTAAATAGGTATAAAGACACATAGTGAAAGGCGCTTAAGACGAGAATAAGGTATTCATTCTAAGTAAACAGTATTAGTGGAGAAGAGACGGTGGAGAAAGTGCTTAAACAAGGGATTTTTGAAATGAGAGAATGACGGGCAGTTAGCTGTAGGGATGAGGCTTAGGGGTTGCAATACATTAAGTATATCAATGTGTGGTTAATTAACTAGTAACTATTTACAGCGCTGTAGGCTAAGAAGTTGCAACAAGCTTGTCAAACAATACATTGACATAAGCATATTAGCTAAGCTAATTGTAATTACAATCTTATTTAGCACACTTATACTAGTGAAAACACTAGTATAGTAATGCTAGACGCTATTGCCTCTCTCTTTAAAGGTAAAGGTTACCCTAAACATTATTAAATAGGTTGTTTAGCTTAAACAACTGTAAGTCTTTATAGAAAGGAAAGCTATGCAAAGGTTTTTTACACTAAACAACTTTTACCTTAAACAACTGCTAGGATTAGGCAAAATTTTTCTCAATAGGTGTTTAAAGGATATAAGGTTAGATTAAGGTAGTAGAAGTTGGCAATTAAAATAAAAAAAGGCAACTATTGCTATATAAGCAAAAGATAGTAAATAGTAAGTTAAAATAGCATTAACTTGCAAGACTTTTTAGCTTAAAAAGACTGTCTAACTTTATAAGCTATGCAATATACTACTTTGCTTAATCTGCAATGTAAGTATTAAGCTAGGCAATAGTATAAAGTTGCATTTTTGCAATTAGTATAAGCTAAAAGGTAAAAGGCTATAAATAGTATTGTCTTTTACATTATTAACAATGCATTTAAGCAATTTAACAACTATAAAGCTATTGCATAATAGTAATATATTAATTAAAAACTTGCTATTGAGGAGGAGAGACACAAAACCACCTACCTACCTACCTTTAAATATAGCGACAAGCATAGGCTGTGCTTGTAGAAAATGTTATGTAATTTGAAATGGCGCTAGTGAAGACAAGAGGCAGAGCTTGTAGAGAAATAGAAGGCAGAGCTTGTAGACATTTTTAGCGGTAAAATTGCCAAAATTGGTATGCGTATAAAGCTTAAATGCAGGCAAAATCTTTGGTGCTATTTTTAAGTTAGTAAAATGCTTGTAGGTAGAAAAAGCTATAGGTTTTGTTTGTTAGCATTACCTAAGCTAGTGTAGCGTTATAGAGGTGGCGCGTTGGTAGGGGGCTACTTTAATAGCAATCTAGTGATATTATACGAAGTAAAAGTGGTGATTATATTTGGTGGTTTCTACGCAGAGAGTGCGTAGGCTTTGACTAACCTATGCTAGCGCATAAGCTAGGTTACAAGCTACTAGGGCTACTTTAGGCTCTGCCTTTACTGTCTATTTATAGCTAGTAGAAACTATCCTTTCTACCTTACCAAGCCTTATGCATCAATATGCTAGGCTTGAAAAAGAATCTACTTGCTTTTAAGTGTCACATGGCAATGCTGCTATTGGTGGAGGCCTAATTGGCTTAACTAGTTAGGCTACTACTACTAAAAAATCTAGAGATTATCTGATTGTACAAATATTGTAAATCTAGACGCCTTTGAATGGTTTACAAGGCTAGATTCTATAGCGCTAAAATTGTCAATTTTCTAGGATTAATTCTAATACAATAGATTAATCTTCTTTTAATCCTAAAACTAACAAGACATGTAATTAGCTTAAATAAGTCACATGCTAATGTTAAATTAACTGCCAACATCCTTGTAAGTCAAGCTTATTGCATGCAATAGCTTAATTGCTATATGTGTAGCTTAGTAGCTAGCTTTGCTAGTCTTTTAGTTAGCTTAGTAGCTAGCTTTGTAGCCTTAGAGGCTTTGGCTTTCTAGCCTTTAGTCTTTTTGGCAAGAAGCTTGCTTGCCCTAGCCTTATACTTGTCAATAAGGCATTGTAAATGGTTTAGATTTGCCACCTTTTTCCACTTGTTATACTTATAGCCTTAACCTTTTTACTTGATTAGGTATTAAGTTATAGCTATGCAGCTGCAGCTAATCTTAACCTCTTGCTTCCTAACTAGCTGCTTTACCTTGTATACCGCGTTAGGGTTGTTAAGGTTGCTATTAGACTTGTTAAGGCTAATGTTGATTAGGCTTAGCAAGGGCTAAACCTAGCTATAGAGATTCTTGTTGTTGCTAGTATCTAAAACCAAGTGCTGTATTGAAATGACTAGGTAGATATTTTAATTGTTAGGAAGGTTTAATTTGTAAGCTAGCTTGCTAATCTTTTTGAGAATTGTAAAAGGTTTTGCGTATTGCTAAGACTACTTGCAAAAAGGTTGACTAGAAAGGTAGTAGCTATGGTAAAGTTAAAGGAAAACTATATTATTAATGTTAAATTTGACTAGGCAGTGCTTTTAGTTATACTAACGCTTTGCTTATATAGCTGCAAAGGTTATTGCTAGCTTAGTGTCTTTCTAGATAGCTAATTAGATAAAGCAAATAAGGTTAAGCTAGGCTAAAAGGTTACCTATACTAGCAATTACCTTGGCAAAGCTTGAAAGCTTAAAGCTAAAGAGGACCTTGTTAGGAGATGCTGCTATTCCTTTGTTGTACATGTTGTTGAGATTCTACTAAAGTGTAGGAATAATGTTAACCTAGTTGTTTTTAAGGTTGGTAAAGCAGTAGAATTGAATAGCTACTTTTATAGTCTAATTCTTGCACTTTAATAAGCTATTAGCTTGTAGGTGATATGCTATTATTATCATTAACTTAGTGTTAAACCTAGCCTATAGCTTTTTCTATAATTTCGACTAGAATTTAGGGTTTTAATTAGAGATAATTCTACATAAGATAGGCTAGTCTAAGAGTAGTAAAGTCTAGGTAAATACTAATCTCTAGTCTTTTGCTATATAAGTTGCATGGCTTAGAATTAGTAGAGACTTTTTGGTAAACTTATTGGTAGTTGTAAGCAAGGTGTTGTAGGTTTTGTAACTTAGAATCTGCTAAAAAGTGCTAGCTAAAAAACCTTTAATAGACTTATAATAAAGTCAATTGCTACTACTTACATAGAGGCTAATTAGGTCTAAATTGGCTAGTAATTACTAAGCAGTTTGCTATTGTCAATATGGTTAACCTTGCAAGCAAGGCAGTTAGTAATATACTAGTTAATCTCTTAGCACTTCTAGTGCATCTAGTACTAATCTAGCTTTTATAGCATATGTTTATAGCTAAAGTAGTGCTTTTTATTGTAAGCAAAGGCTAGGAATTTATAGTATAACAATTACAGTATATAAAGCTATTAGGAACTATTATGCATTATATAGTATAAAAGACTATTAATTAGCTTAAATATAAAGGCTGCTTTAGCTAGAAAAGCATTTTTAATAATCTTGTTATTACTATGCAAATCTTTAAAGATATTTGCATAGCTTAAGTCTGCAATATAACTAGTATAAAAGCATTTCTTTAATTTAAGACTTATTAAAGCTTTAGAAGCAAGCTATGCGTTATTAGACTATGCAATATACTAACTATTGTTAGGCAAGACATTGTCAAGGGTTAGTATAGCTGTAAGTTTAAGCTTTGCAGCTAAATCGATTATCTTTAGTCAAGACAATATGTTAAAGACTATGTTAAGTTTGCTAGCAATATGGTAGACTTATAAAAGATACTGCAATAGGTAAATTAAGGCAGTGACTAGTTATTAATTAGCTTGATTAGTAGACAAGGTATTAAAAGTAGTCTGCTTTACAATCTCTTTGGTAGCCAAGTAATTAGTTAGTATAATTACTAGCTTTTTTAACAATTAAATTATTATCTTAATCTTTTGCATAGCATAGACTAGGCAGCCAACTTTTAATTTGAAAGGTCTATAGCATTGCTTAGCGCTAGAAAAAGTCTAGCTAATAAATATTACAGGCTAAACCATTGCTAAGAGTATCTTGTAACTAAGCTTTTAGTTATGACTATCTTTAAGGTAGAAGACTATAACGCTAAAGCTATTTTCTAGTAAGCTGTTAAGCTATATAAACAGTAGCTTTTAAAGATTAAAATAGACTAAAATAGTATTCTTGGTAAAAGCTTCCTGCAAGGCATTAAATGCAAGGATTTTAGTCTTTATAGGCTTATAGTATGTTTTCTAATAGTAGGCTTTTTGACAGTTAATTGCGCTAAGTTTTAGCTTTCTATCTTTGCAACCCTTGGCTAGTAAAGCTTTCTTTTGCTACTGCAGTAGTTTGGCAAGCTAAGTATAGTAAGAGATTAGATAATAAAGAAAGCTAGTAGTATTAATATACTATTTAAGGCTAGCAAGCTAGGCTAGAAAGGCAATATTTCTAATAGCTTCTAGGCGCTTTTAAGTTATAAATAGTCTAAATCTATTAATGCAAAAGCTAAGAAGCTTGACAAAAGGGTAGCTTAGGTAAGACTTCTTTAAGGCAATCAAAATATTGTATTTGATAAAGAGGTTAAATATATATATTAGGTGCTTTAGATGCTTTTCTTTAGTCTTAGAGTATATAACAATATTGTTGATAAAGGCGCAGCAGTAATTTTTAAAAAGCTTTAAAAGTTAGTCTATAAAGCGCTAGACATAGGCTAGCAAATTCTAAAAGCCTATTAATGCAACCTTTGACTATTCTAGCCTTTAATAGGTAATTAGAGTGAATTAGTTTTGAAATTTAGAGTCTACTAGGAATTAGTAGAAAAAAAAGGTTGCATTAATAATAGTAATATACTATTTGCTACAAATTAAAGCTATTACATCTTATTGCAGTAGCAAAAGGTAATAGTCAAGGACTGCTATATAGTTAATTGGTTGTAAATTAACTACTATATAGCCTTTCTTAACTTTATAAGCTTTACGCTAGACTATAAAGACTAGTATTGCAAAGGGTATAAGTCTATTAACCTGCTCTATATAGTTTTTCTTGTGTAAGGCGTTAAAGGTTTAATCAACTACCTCTTAGTCTTTAATTCCAAAAAGGTATAGCCTAGAAGCAATCTTCTTGTTTTGCTAGCTATTAACTAGTAGAATCTTAAGGAGTTAGTTGTCAAAGACTTTAATTAGACTATTGTTAGTCTAAATTTGTTAAAAACGCTTGACTAGCTAGGCTAATTTGTAAGCTAGTTGTTTGTTAGCAGCATATATATATATGCCTTTCTTAGTGACTTGCTTAGGTAGGTTAGTTAAAGTCTTAATTCTTAGTAAGCTAGAAGTTAAAGTAACAATTAGCTTTTCTACTAGTAGACTTTCTAAGGCTGT